TTTAATGAATGTGAAAAGCATCCTATTTCTTCACTTAACAAGGGATTCAAATTAGGCCCTAGGGACAAGGATTTCCTAATATTTTGTAGGGACTTTTGATGTTACAAATAGAAACTACTCTTTTTAGGAGAATAAGGATGAAGGCAGGTTACGTGTGGGTGGAAGGACTAGGCCCTTAGGTTCCCATCAAGAAGAAGAAGGGCATTGACCTCAGTTTTGTTAGCTTCATTCAAATCACTCTTTGTAGGGTGTAGACACTTTTGGACAGATTGTAGTTCTCTGAATTTAGGGAAACACTATATCTAGGGTGCCATGGACTATCTGCTCAGCTGCTTATTCATTCTTGATTTTAATATAGAGCTTTAAGGTTTGCAAAATGCTTTATATGCTTCATCTCATTTGAATGTCACAATAACCCGGGCAGGTAATCATTACCAATATTATTGTTGCCATTTTTTTTGGATGAAGGAGGTTGAGTGATTCGCCCAAGATCAGACAGCCTACATAACTGTCAAGATTTGGACCCAGCTCTTACTAACTAGTATAGCACCCTATCCCTCATGCCACACTAGCTCTTAGATAGCTTGGCCCACTGAAAAAAGATTGAGCAGTGATGGATAGTTAAGCCTTCATTATCAGGTGAAAAGTAAGCACTAAAAAAGAGAGGCTGATGGAACTATTTGGCAAGGTACAGTCAAGAATAAATCTTCAAAGTTCTCAGTTTTTTTCCCCAAGAAAACCTCTATATCCTTGGCAAAGACCAACCATTTCAAAAATGTCTTTCTCAATTATAGTTTCCTACAATCTTCAAAAATCACTTAAAAAGAAATTGAGAAAAAGAAACACTTTCTGGGAACTTTAAGTTGGGTTGTTGTATTAGGGACATAGTGCCACCTTAGGGCTACTTCAAAATAGCTGTGAAAATATATGTGGGAAGTCACAACAGCACCCCTCCCACACACACAGAGGTAAGCTATCTTATAGGGCAGGTCCTCAAATAGCCAAATGGTTCTATGATCTCCTGGATAAGACATTTCCTGCATATCCTATGTTAAGGGGGGAGGAACTTAACATGCTTGAGGGCTTTCTTCATTTTTTCTTAACATCTCAAAGATACCAATGGAGTAGAAGTAATGCCCATCAGGTATTCTTCATTCTTGCTAATGACCAGTCCGTCTTCTCTTTCTGTTTTCCTACATTTCTTTGATGTTTCTGTTTATGCTGATTCTCCTTGTATTAAATTCTTTGTAATGTGTTGTAATCTACTTAATGAAGAAGGAAATGGTAAACCACTCTAGCACCTTTTTTAAGAAAACCCCAAATGGAGTCACGAAGAGTTAGAAATGACTGAACAACAACAAAGGTGTACTTGTACCCACTATGCAACTCTCCATTGTCCTTTGATAGGTAGCTTGCATTCTTTGGAGACTATAGTGTTCCATGACTCACAGTCATACAAAAACACTGGAAAGGTATTGCTATTGAGAGCATGGGGCTTTGTTTCAAGGAGAACCTTGGAGTCATTAAAAGAATGCTATGGTTTTCAAAAGGCAAGCCAGCCCACTCTCCTGCCCCATTCAATTTTGGCCTCACTTCAATGCCCATTTGTAGTTTCTGTCTAAGATGCATGTATTTATGGATGAAATGAACTCTTTTGCTTTCTGTTCTACTGCAAATCATAGTTTGGACAACAAGGCACATAATGTGAAGGTAGATAGCCTCAATCACACAACACAGAAAGGGAGATTTTGTTTTTCTTCCATTTATACAATATGGTGTTGATAAAACGGGACTAGCTTTTCATTGACAGATTTTCATTGCCAGTCAAGCTTAGGCACACATAGATAAAATTTTGTGATGGGTTAGATTAGGCTAGGTGATTTCTTTTTATCTGTGATTCTCTGGTGCTGTTCTTTAGGATAACCTGGAGCTGTCAAGGAGTCTCATTTCTAAGTTGATTTCTACATTAGAAAAAAACTTTTACATGGTATACAATGTTCCCATTATATAACACATATTACATTATTTATAATTATATTACATAAGATATGATATGATATATCACATTATTTATATATTATATATGATGATATAATATACATATATATACATATATATATACATATATATATGTATGTGTGTGTGTGCGCACAAATACACATAAAACAAAAAAAACCAGGGGCAATTCTATTCTATTAGATTTTCTCCTTTGTCCTATCAGAGTTCTGTTTCTTCCGGCAATAGATTAAGTCAAAGAACAAATAAGATTATCTAAGCATTTTAGGGCCATAGCTCAGTATTGCTAGCTGGTTTTTTTGTTTGTTTGTTTTGTTTTGTTTTTTCGTTTTGTTTTAAGAATCCTCAGAGAGAGCTTTTGGTAAAGAGTATCTATGACTCCTTTACTTCTTTGACAGGACAAGTATGGTATAATGATAATGTTAATAATGTTAACCAACATTAATATAGTTTTTAAAGTTTGCAGAGTACTTTACAGTTTGGTGGTTGTCCCTTGGTCTCTAAGAGGACCAAAATGGCATCACTATGCTAGAGTTATATTTCAGTGTGTCTGACTGTGGCTGATCAGACCAACATGAGCTCTGAATGCTCTACCACAGGTTGGGCACAAATAGTGTATGTGAACACTTAGGGTGGTTTCTCTAAATTTTCACATTCTGCATTTCTTTTGAGCTGTCTCAATTCTGCTTTGCTCATAGAGCACAGCACCTACTCTGATGTGGGCATGCCATGATGAGTCGTCCTGTGCCAGCATCTCCCATGTCACACAATCAATTCCAAAGTTCTTAAGAGGGACCTTGAGAGTGTCCTTGTATTGCTTCTTCTGACCATGTGAACGCTTGCCCTGTGTGACTTCTCCATAAAACAGTCTTTTCGGCAAGCATACATTTTGCATTCAAACAACATGGCCAGCCCGTAAAAGTTGCGCTCTCTAAAGTGGAGTTTGAATGCTTGACAGTTTAGTTTGAGAAAGGACCTCAATGTGTGGTATTTTATCCTGCCAGGTGATCTTCAGAATCTTCCTAAGACAATTCAAATGGAAGTAATTCAGTTTCCTGGCATGGCCCTGGTAGACTGTCCAGGTTTCACAGCCATACAACTATGTCAGCACGATGGCTCTGTAGACCTTCAGTTTGGTAGTTATTCTAATACCTCTTCTCTTTATAGGTACTTATTAGATGACTGAATTTGCTAGTTACTTAGACCCTCTGAGCCTTAGTTTCTTCCTCTGTCAAATGGAGATTTGACATCTCACAGGGTGGCTATGAGGATTAAATGAGACAGTATATGTAACAGATTTGTTGTTTACATATTTATTTGTATTGTTTTTCTCATTTGATATAGAGACATAACCAATAAGAGCAATACACAGTAGGTTTTTTTTTAAGGCAGTTGGGGTTAAGCGACTTGCCCAGGGTCACACAGCTAGTAAGTGTCAAGTGTTTGGTCTAAGGCCAGATTTGAACTCAGGTACTCCTGACTTCAGGGCCCGTGCTCTATCCACTGCGCCACCTAGCTGCACCATTTTTTTTACAGTAGTTTTTGATACTAAAGTAAAGATTCTAAGATCCCTGGCTAAATTAATGGTGTTCAGCCCAGAATCTTATTAAGCTGTCACATATCTCTCTCTAAGTTTATTTCTCAATTATTCCTAATTATGATTGGTGTCTAGGGAGAAAGGTTGCCTTGCCCTAAAAGCCCAGAATAAGCATTCTAAATTTTCCTCCTGGTATTTTCCCCTAACTCACACAGCTTTTTGCAAATGATTGTAAGGATGAAAGGAAACTCTTCCCCCTCCCCCCATTGCTACTCTCTCCACCCACTGAGCCTCAGTCAGACCTTTTCCTAAAGAAGGAATTACTGTGCTAAGGACATGGCTGTTATAAGGACATGGCATCAGAATCTGGGGCATTTTCCTTTTTATGTATTGGGCTTTTTTCTCTTCTGGGCCTGGACAAATAACAGCATTATGCCTTCATTTTCTCAAACTAAAAAAAGTGAGGGAAATAATGATTCTTTGGTCTCAGTGGGACATAATGAAGATGTAGAAATCCTCACACAGATCATCACAGAGGGAATGAAACCAGAGACAATTAGGATCAATGTTCAATTTGGTGGGAAGAAGTAGACAAAGCCTTCCTGGGGAGTGTGAGACACTTTTAGAGTTACTGTAAAGCCTGCCTATCTGTGTCTCACTCTTACGGATACTTGTCCTGACTCATTCCCTTGCACCATTTTATCTGGTCTCCAGTTCAGGCCCAATTATCCTTCCTTCTTTATTCTCAACTAATTTCATTCTTTGCCCTCACTCATTGTCATCACCACCAATACCATCAAGGGCCTGCTTGCTGCTACTGTTATTATGGTCATTGACCTCACTTTTGCTATTACCTCTGTGGCCACTGGTCCTCTTGTTGCCTAAAAAGTTTGGCTTATGGGGATGGCAATACTTGAGGGCTGGGTGGTAGTGGAGACAGGGAGAAAAAGTGATGAACAAAGCCAGGGTAGGTGTTAGAAACAGGGCTGGTCTAGGGAGGGGAAGGAAGGATTCTCGATAATTTGTATCTTTGTATTTTTAGATTATTTCTGCTGCCACAGTAATGCCCCATTGTAATTTCCCAAGAGCATTCTGAAAATGGGAAAACATGTTTAAGCTTGTGGAAGTGGCTAAAGGTATTTATTCTCTCGCTCTTATGAGTTACAAAAATGATAAACCTAATTATAATGGGAGTCACGGTTTCACAGAAGTGCAGAATCTTAGAAGAGGAAGAGACCATTGAGGCCATTTAATCCAACTCATACCTGGATAAAGATCACCTCTACAACACCTCCAACAAGTGGTCATTCAACCTTTGCCTGAAGACTGCCAGCAAGGGGAACACCACTACCTCCCTATGTAGCTATTACACTATTCATTAGCTCTAGTTGCTATTACTTTTCCTGTAAAAAAAAAATCTACAAAGGGAAAGAAAAGTTAATTCTCCATAGACTTTTACTTAAATTTTTATTTAAAGTCAAGTTAAGTCAATAAGCATTTATTAAGCCCTTGCTATGTGTTAGGTACTAGGCTAAATTCTGGGGTTGCAAATATAAGCAGAAAGAAAAACAATTTCTGCCCTCCAAAAGCTCACATTCTAATGGGCGAAGACATTATATAAAAGGAAGCTGAAAAGGAATGGAAGGAAGAAGGTAATCAAAATAAGGCCATGGCGTAGACAGAACAGAGAGTTAAGAGTGGAGCCCAGAGAGAAATGAAAATATTTCTAGCCTCTTAAAATGGAAGTTCTGGGAGGAACTGGCCAATCAGAGGAATATGGTGCAGTGTTGACTTCGTTTCCAGTGTGAGAAGGCCCAGAGGAAAGTGATCTTCCAAAGTGAGGAGGCTGATGTAGCATAGTTGAGAAAGTCCAGAGTCAGGAGTAGAGCCCAGAGTACTGAAATTTAAATTTTTAAATACCTAGAAATTTAAATAAGAACATTATTCAAGAGGATAATGAACCAGAAACTCAAGCAAAGTTCAATCACTCACACATAACTGCATAGATATTGATTTATCTACCTGGAAAATTATGTTAGAAGACCTTTAGGCTCATGAATATTTACTACTTTAATAGAGGAACACTGTTTTCTTTAGCAAATTTTGGCTGAGGTAGTGTTATTTGCTTATGACAATAAAGACGATTTGATTTCTTATTATTGTCCCCCTTAACACCTTAGTTTACATAGTTCCCAAAGCCAGGAATGTCCTCTTCCTTTCTCTACCTATTGAAATCCTGGGATCACAGATTTAGAGACGGAAAGGACATTCAGGGTCATCTAGTCCAGTTCCTAATTTCGTAAAAAAGGAGAGTTGGGGCCAGAAATATAAAGAAACTTAGTCCATAGTAGGTGGTTAATAAATGTTTGTTTTTCTCTTCTATCTTATTCCCAATCCTACAGGCACTAAGTGGCAGTCAGGATTCAAGCTAGGTCCCTTTGACTCCAAATCCAGAACTCTATATTATAGCACATTGCCTCCACAGTCCAGCTCCAACATTAGCTTCATGAATCCTCTTCTGATAATTCCAGCTGGTTGTGATTTCTTCCTTTTCTGAACTTTTATAGTCTCTGCATATTGTATTTATAGGACTCTAGAATTCTTAAGCTGGAAGAGAATCTTAAAGATAATCCCATCTGAATGTAAGCTGCTTGTGGGTAGGGACATTTCATTATCCTCAGAGCCTAGTACAGTGCCTGGATGGCACACCGTAGGCACTTAAATGCATGTTAATGAAGAGATTGATTTTACTGATGAACAAATTAAGTTTCAAAGAAGTTGTCTATGTGCCCAAGGCCATACATAATAAGTGGCACAGTCAATATTTGAACCCAAGTTCAATAACTCCAAATCTGGTGCTGTTTCCACTACACCATGATGCTTTGTGTCCCATTTTCTAATTTCTATCATTATACTGATTTGTATCTTATCTTTCTTACTAAAACATATGAGTTTAGATATCAATGAATTCAGAATCTGTCATGTTTATCCTTGTGCTCCCTTCCCTCAGTAGCTAACATAGTATGCTGTGCTTATTACAGTGCATGGCACATATTAGGTGCTTAATAAATGTTTGCTCACTGACTGCCTGGCAGGTGTTTAGTAAGTGTATGATAAATACTGAATAGCACAAGGGCAATTGGGGAGACTGTAGCTTTTGGAGACAATGAGCCTCAGCTAAAAATTCTCTCTTGACCTACATTTTTATGTTCTTCTTTGTTATATCTAGGGTGACATTAGTATCCAATTCTTGCATACCTGGGTACAATCAGTATATATAAATATATCAGTGAAGAACTAGGAATAACTTTTGAAGTTATTATAGCAAAATGGGGTTGGAAAAACCAAACAGTAGCTCCATCCTTCATGATGGAAAAGTATACAAAGTCTTGGTGAAAGTTACTGCAATGGATTTTTGGCAACAGCTCAGGTTTAAAGGCTGGCTAGTCTCCCTGGTGCCTTTCTTCTAAGGCAGAAATGGAGTCTGTCTTCACATGTTACCTTTTGGAGGGGAGGGGGAATGGTGTTGACAGTGTTACAAATGATAATGCGATAATTTGCCTGGCTAATAATGAGAAGGGTGAGTTGGCAAACCTCATCCCCTCCAGTGCCTTCTTTCTCATCCTGTGAGCCTGGTGTTTTCCTTCTTTAAAAGTTCCCAGGAAAAAAAATGGGTCTTTGAACTCCACCTTCCCTCTTCTCAGAGGGAGGAGACTAGGAGACATGAAGGAAAGGGAAAGCAGAGTGGAGCTTATGGTGACGGAGACTGGAGAAGTCAGAGCAGGAGAGGAGAGAGGAGAGGAGAAGAAGGAATTCACTTTAGTCTTACCAAGTGCTGCAGCTGCATGAATGGCTACTTAGTTCCTGCCCTACATGTCACAGACCACAGCTGCCTTCCATCAATACATGCAAGAATTTCCTGTAGAAATGAAATAAGCAGGGTTAAAAATGCACATCACCACACTGGACCTTCAGAACTACACACACACACACACACACACACACACACACACACACACACTTCAGAATATGAATCTAGGTTTTAAAAATACTCACTTGGAAGAGCAAAAGGACTTAAATGACTTTCTTTATTCCCCGGGGTCTTTCCTTCTGTGACAAAGTTTTCATCTGGAGCCAGTGAAGAATGCTGAATTATTCCTTGACAATTAGGATTCAGTTCAACTTGACCATGGTATGTCAGAGCAGCAAGTCTTGACCTACTTCCTGGAAGGGGTGAGCTGGGTGGGTAAAGCTCTTGAATGAAAGAAAAAAGCTTTTCAGTTCACACAGTATGGCTTTAAACTTTGATTTTCCTTCTCTCTGTCTCTTTTGGTCTGTGTTTATCTGTCTCTCCCTCTCTCCTCAGGCTACTTGATTTAACAAAAAGTTCTCTAAAGAGCTGTGTGATTCCTCGTGGCTTTAAAATATGTTAATAAAAGTCAGCAGCATCTTTCTTATAACACTACCCTTAGATCAGTGTCATGAGATTGCCTTCTACTTTATACAGTCTCTTGGTATTTTATCAGCTGTTATCTCTTGGATGGAGCCAATGAAAGATGCACCATTAGCCAGATTCTGTTTAACGCGGTAAAGTGAAGAGTTGGTTATAGGCAAAATTATATAGTAAATGTAGGTTTTATATTTTCTGTTAGTCTTCATCTCCTACAAAACATCCCTAATCAAACATATTTAAACAAGCTATTGACTCTGGAAATTGAGAAATTGATGAAAGAATACACATTTTCTAATATTTTCTAATGAAATTTAATACCACAAAGAAGAGTCCAAATGAGCCCAGGAATTATCGCAATCAGCAAACACTTGTCCTCTTTGCTAAGCAGATAGATATGACATAAAAAGGAAGTATTGATTTAAAATATAACCTCATTTTATAAAATTTGACAGAGAAGGACAGTGAGTAGAAGATTATGGACCAAATTGCTTTGTGAAGCAGCAAGAAACAGTAGAGGGGAAAAATGCTTACAGAAAGCTTGATAAAAGACACATGTAAACCATAGTATACTGGGAGCATTTAAGGCTGGAACTGCAAGGAGTAGGACAAGCAAAAAATGGAAAATACCTGTCAAAATTGTTATTATGAACTACTCTATCCATCAGTGAATGAAGCCACCACATTTCCACTCTAACACTATGGTTCCTAATGTGTTGAATAAAGAAGTAGAAACTGGAATAAAGAAAATATATATAGAAATATCAGTTGGACCATATCAAGTAGACACATAGAAGATTTATGCTGGAATTAAAACAAATTTTAGGACACTGAGGGATTGATTCTTAAGATATCTGAAGCAGTAGAGAGTAATAAAAATAAAGAATAATCAAACAACAATATTATTTCCCCAAAATTGAGAGAAAATGACTGGAAATTATGTGTTTATTTTCCCATTTGTAGAAAATATTTCTTAGACTAGTTCTTACATGTGTAACCTGGTCAAGCCCATTTGTATAAGACTCTCCTCATTGGTAGAGATTAATTACTCAATGCTCCATTCCTGTATGAGATGAGAAGTTGTCAAGAGAGGAAAAATCCTTCTTCTGTTCACAGAGGACATATATATATTCTTTCCAGGGAGAGGTCCCTGGAGGGAGGGAAAGGCTCTACAAAAAAATCTGATGTATGGAGTGTCCAGAGACTCCAACATGTGCCTGTTCCTAGCTTACCACATTACAGATTTCAAGGAATTTCCCCTTGGTTGAGATAGGGGATTTTCTATCTCCAATGATTATGCTGAGCTATCTTGCTCCTAGCAGGAGAACTCATTCCCTCTATTTATTGTTTGCCATATTGTAATTCATATACCTTTTCTGATTTCTGTTTGGTATCTGCATGGATAAATTAGTTTATTTACTTTTCATTATATGTTATAGCCTTTGTAAAATTGGCATTTGATAGGAATAGATTCCCGACTTTGGAGTTTGGACTACTCCTTCCCTTTTAAAGGGATAGTGATCAAGAACACAGATTGAAATGAAAAATTATTTCGATTACACTATTTAGGAGGTTACATAAATATAATATTAGTCCAGCACCTCCTCTCTGAGAAAAGCAAAGTGACCAGCCTTGTGACCCCAACATACTACTCCCCTCATGTCAGATAACAAAATTTCTATTAGAGAAAGTTGAGTGGAGGAGACTGTGAAGATACCTATTCACACCTCTCTTCAAGTCACATCTAGATAAACCCATGTGGATACACATAACCTACCTGGGCACAGCACTCATACACATACATACACACATATACACCTTACATATTTGACAGAAACCTTAATGAAAGTATGAGAAAAGAAGAGGCAAATGTTTGCAGATGATATTCTAGAGAACATACTATCTTTACAATCGAGCAACTGACTATAAAGAATACAAGACACCATTGTGCTTCTTGTTGAATGACTATAAAAACACATGCGTTAGAGCAAAATAATGCCTTGAAGGCTCTCCTTTGCTAAGATGTATTTCATGAATCTGTTAAAATCATGAAGATTCTTTGAAAGATGTAATCACAGAGATAAATTTGTTCATTGACCCTCTGATTAAATGAGCACAGAGTCATTGGAAGAGTGCTTCCCTCTAGGTGGTGAGGTCCTCCAGATGTGCCTATTTGTAAAAGATATTGATTGTGCTAAGTCCCAGAACACTACAGAATCTCCCAAATGACTTCCAAAGTTACACAAAAGAGCTCAGCATAGCTAGTGGTGATAAGGGAAGAAATAAGTCTATGAACATAAACAGTGCATTCTGTCTGACCTTTCTCTATCTCTTGATACCTTTATTTTGAGGATTTATTTATCTTTGTTTCTCTTCTCTTGATATCTCCCTTAAGGCTTTCTCAATTGGTTGAAATTAGTTGAGTAAACAATAGGCAATTATTGAAGATTTTGGAAAAAAAAGTGACAATTACAAAGCATTATTAATTTCAAGGAATGGAACTGGTAAATAGAGAAGAGATTTTTAAGAAAGGGGCCCTTCCTGCATAATGATAATTGCCTTTATTTATTATTGTTGAAGATAAGTGGATGTATTTATTTTTTCATTTTTTTGAGACCACACACACATTCATGCAACTATTTATTCATTCACTCATTCATTTGTTTATTTCCTTTTTTATTTATTTTTGTCTTATGCTACCAGCTTAATTCTGGGGCTCATTGAACTGAACAAAGTAAAATTTGCTTTTCAATGTTTTTCATTTTTCTGTCTGTTCCTCAATAAGTTTGAAAGACTTGATTGATTTCACTGAAATATATTATCGATAACAGTTTTAAATATTATTAATTATATTAACAACAATAATAGCTAACATTTATATAATACCTTTAGGTTTGCTTAGAATATACTTTATTTCATTTGCTTCTCACAACAACTCTGTGAGGAAGGCACTATTATTATGTCCATTTTATAGACAAGGAAGCTAAATCTAAGAGAGGTCAATGACTTGTTCAATGTCATTTAGCGTCTAAGGCAAGATTTGAACTCAGTTCTTTCTAACCTTAAGTCTAGCACTCCATCCACTAAACTTCTCATTAAATAATAATTAATGATATTCTAGTTATGGCAATAACATTTTCAACTCTTAAAAAAGAAAATGAAAATTATATATTGTTTATTTCTTCATCTCATTCTTTAAAATTTTGTATATGTTTTATGATGTACATAATACTTTAGTACAGTAGTCCACGTGCATACTTTACACATAAATAAGCAAAATATGGTGAGAGGGGATGTGTTCAAAACTTTTAATGGATAGGAGTACAACAAAGTATCAACATGATCAAAAGAGTTGGGAGACTACTTTTCTAAGTAACTCAGAAAAAGAAGTAGGCAGCATTAGTTAAACATGTACATACATATATACATGTACTCAAACTCTAAAACTTACTAAGTTTAAATGCCATGAAGTAGTCTACATGACACAAAATCTCTGGAAATTAAGGGGGGCGGAAAACCACCTTGAAAAGGAACTAAAACAGAGCACACACACAGCTGCTTCTCTTTGCTCATAACTTAATTTCAATTTCCTTTTGTCCAATCTTGGAAAACTTGGCTTTGAGTCCTAAGGAGTCACTGCATACTTGCATTATTGCATAATTTTGTGTGGAACCTAAAATATTCAGACTTGACTAAAGATGATTAGATTCCATTCCTGTGAGTTTAGGTAGTGGACTAAAGAAAAGTCCTTGCCATATAAACAGGTAGCTGGCCTGGGGTTTAGCTCGGGTTAAACCGATCCTTTTGATGAGAATTCGTTGACTTACTACTATCTTGCCCAGAATCAGTAACAGTGTTTGTGATCCTTTTTTATCTTCTTCTGGTGCATGAAATCTCATCTTAGAGTGACCACTCAGAGACTTACTTGTATTTTATACTTGCAGAATGCCTGGAAGTAACCATATTTTGGTATTTAAAGAACCCAAATAAACCCACTGGCTGGAGAAAATGTTCTGAAAGGAATAGACTTTTGGCAGTAGATGTTTCAGGAGTGAGGGTTTAAGAATTTTCTCAATGTATGGGGGCTACCTAATAAACTATATTATCTGCATTTTATAGGAAACAGATTTCATTGTTTCTGCTCTTCCAAGAACAGAAAGAGACCTCCAGAAGTTAGCTGGTGTATATCTGAGTCTTCATAAAAGACATTACTTTGGTCATCTCATGCATATTCGTGTCTCTTCATTTTCCTGAAGATCTCCATACACGGGGAATTCATAAGTTCCCTTGACCAAGCTCCCAATTATCTTGGGGAGAAAATATAAACTTCTTTCATTGTCATTTAAAACTCACTATACTCTGGCTCCAAACCAACTTTCCAGGTTCATTACTCATTCCTCCCTGTCACTAAGAGTACATTCCAGTCAAACCAGCCTATAGTACTGTTCCATGAACATACCATTCTAACTTGACTCTCCATGCCTTTGCTTGGGCTGTCCACTATGCCTGGAATGCTCTCCCTTTCTACTTCTTGATCTTGGAACCCTTGTGTTGTTGTTCAGTCTTTTCATGACCCCATTTGGTGTTTTCTTGGCAAAGATACTGGAGTGGTTTGCCATTTCCTTCTCCAGCTCATTTTACAGGTGAGGAAACTGGAGCAAATAGAGGGAAGTGACTTAACCAGGGTCACACAGCTAGTAAGTGTCTGAAGCTGAATTTGAACTCAGGTGTTCCTGACTCCAGGCCTGGACCACTATGATGCCACATAGCTGCCCCTTAGAATTCTTGGTTCTTTTCAAAGTTTAGCACAAGAACTGCCTCTCTTAGGAGGTCTTTCATTCAGTTGTTATTATACACCCCTAACTATAAATAACTTTGCATATATTTTGCATCAAATGTGAAAATATGTGTAATGTGCTTTGAAAAACTTAAAGTCCTCTATATAAATGTTCTTATTCTTATCATCTCACTTGTGTACAAGTCAGAGGCAGTACAGAGCAATGAG